TGGGGTAATTGGGATGGGAGTGTCAGAGACAGTGTGATTGGCACAGGACAGAGCAGAGTTTAGGGCTGTTGTACATAGGGTCGCTATGAGTCGCAAGACAACTCAACGGCACATAACAACAACAACATGTACCCTCAAATCAGATCTGACTGGTACAGAAGGAAATTGTCCTTCCTTCTGCAGCAGAGGATTTGCACTGTTCACGTCTGGGATTGCAGTGCAACTTCTTGCCACTAGGCCACCAGAGCTCCCCATACATTTTGTTTTATAACACTAATTACTGTGTCTCACAAAACTCTTACAATACTTCCTGTTTAAAGACTCTTTGTCCTTCTCTTTTTCAAACTTTATCACTACTTACTACTTTCTGATACTTTTCCTTACTTGCTGTTGGTAAGTGCTTTCGAGTCGTAGACAACTCATAGTGAACCTATGAACGAAAGACCTGAGCACTTGTATAATTTTCATCGTTTCTCCAAGTTCATAGAATTTCCATAGGCAAGCTATTTCAGAAGTGGATGCCAGTCCTGCTTCCAAGCTTGTTTTAATCGGGAGCTCCACCAAACACTGTCCATCATGGGTAACCACTATCGCATTTGACACATCACTGTCACAGTGTTTAGCATGACAGCAACCACGAGTTACCTCTGTACAGCAAATGGACAGACCAGTGCTATACCACATAGAAGAATGTTTCACCAAAATCAATTAAAACCAGGCCTGAGGGCCGCAGATTAAAATCACCCACCTTTGGCTTGGTAGCATCATTTCCTATCCACTAGGCCAACAAAGCTCTCTCATTGTTGTTATTGTTGTTAAGTGCAATCGAGTCATAGACAACTCTTAGCAACCCTATGAACGAAAGACCTATTTACTGTTGCCTATTTGTATGTTTCAATACTTACTAGTTCTCACCTACTTTTTAAAATCTTTAAAGAGCTTAGGATTTTTATTGCTTTTTCTGTATGTTTCTAAAGGCTCATCCAATGTTAATCTGACTCTTGCTTTATATTAGCATTTGCTATATACTTTGATAAAATCAACATAAGTCTAAAATTATTATATTTTTATTATTTAGAAACCAACTTTGATCCAGCAGAATGGGGAGCTAAGGTAGATGACCGCTTCTATAACAACCATGCATTCAAGGTACTGTGAAGCCGTTGGCTTTACTGTTCTTCTTCATCTCCAAATAGAGGTTATTAGAAAAATAATGAGAATAATAAGTATCTTATTAATCTTTTGAAATTGTGGGCTTTTTCCTAATGAGAAATTCTTTTCTAAAGTATCTGAGCTATGTTTACAAGTTCTCGTCTTAAGTTTTAAAATGACAAACAGAAAAAAGTTACTGAAAGGTAAAAAAATATTTAGTCATTTATTCTTAAATATTTCTTGAACATCAGTGCTTAACATATAGCAAGTACTCAGTAAATATATGTTGGCTAACAAATGATATTTGATTAAATAAAATATCAACTAGGCCTTGCACTGCAATCCCAGAGTTATGTGGTTTGAATCCACCAGATGCTCTGCTGGACGGAGGGCCAGTCTCCTCCTGTACCAGTCAGATCTGATTTGACAGTACACATATGCACACACACACACAAAATAAAATTAAAAATTGTACAAATTTCTCCCTTGTGTATGTAATGGTACTAGTTATGTTCCATCCTTGGAAAACTAAGAAAATAATTAAGCATTTCCTATGTTCTGAAGTTCAGATGAGGAGCCCTAGTAGAAAAATGCAAAATCCTGAGTCTTGCATACATCAGCAAAAAAGACCCTCAACAAGATAGTTTGGCACTTTGGCTGCAATAATGGGCTCAAACATAACAACTGCTGTAAGGATCACAAAGATAGTGTTTCTTCCTCTTCTACACAGAGTCTCTGTGTGTCAAGTATTGGATATACTATAGACTGCTAAGAAAACAAACAGTTTCATCCTAGAGAGGCTTAACCCAGGCTGCTCCTTGGAGGCAAGGATTCTGAAGCTTCATCTGACATACTTTGGACATGTTGCAATGAGGGCCCAGGCCTTCGAGAAAGACGTCATGCTTGGGAGGGTGGAGGGACAGCTCAGGAGAGTAAGACCCTCCATGAGGTGGATTGATTCAGTGACTGGGGTAATCAGGATCGGTATGTGGGAGACAGTGAGGTTGGCACAGGATAGAGCAGGGTTTAGGGCTGTTGTACATAGGGTCACTATGAGTCACAGGTGACTATGGCACATAACAACAACAATAACAAAAACTATAGCTAGATCTACAAATCTGGTGTATTTTAATAAGATATTCAAAATACATTTACTTTTAATATTTAAGAATAACTACTGTATGCATTAAATAATAATTCAACATAAAGAACCAAGATATATTAAAATAAATTAGCATGCAAAAAGGAAATTAACAAAGGTAGTCTTTGGAAAATTCCCTATGGATGAGGTTGCCATTTATTTGAAAAGTGACATTCCAGGGAGCTCTGGTGACCTAGTGGCAATAAGCTGCACTGCAATCCCAAAGGTAAGCAGTTCGAATCCACCAGATGCTCCACTGGAGAAGGAGAAGCAGTCTCTGCTTGTGCCAGTGCCAATTGGATCTGACTTGTCAGCACACAACAACAACAAAAGTGACATTCTATCCTTTTATGTAAGCCAGATATTACAGTGTTCTGTTTGTTTCCTTTTAACTGGTTTATCTCTGGTTGTGTTTTTATATTTTTATTTTATTGAAATCAAAGGAATAATGTTAAAAATTTTAAAATCCTTAGATGGCCTGGCATGGGGCATTTTGAGTCAGATGACCATATGATATATTACTCTAGAGATGAAAAAGTGAGGAAAAATGGAGTTGCTTTCATAGTTAAAAAAGTCATTGCTCGATC